CCTCTACCTACTATATCAACTCTATGGTTTACTCAGCTTCGGCAGTAATTTTCAGATTCTTAACTAAATTTTGACGTATTAGGATAATTACTATCATTACTACTAAACAATTTATCTTTTGAAAAAACTATTTGGTCTCTTTCAATCCAATTACAGAAACATTAAAATATTTTTTTTTTCTACAATACGAAATTTATTGAACTTGTAAACAAAGATTAATCTCATTCCAAAAATTCAAAGCGAAGTTAGCAAATTGTACTCTACTATCACATTGTATTCTCGGGGACAATAGTTCATTAGAGATTCAAATATGAAACAACAAACGGGAAACAATTATTTTATCACTATAAATTTAAAAAAGGCTTTTAAAGAATGTGTGAATAAAATTTAGGAATTGCATAAAGTCGCATTTAAATATCTCTTATATTAATTCAAAGCAAAATCATGATTAAAAAGGGAGCATTGAAGTACCCAATTTTATTTAATTTGCACGCTCTCATTTCAAAAATTTGAAACTATTTAGACAAGCATTAAAAACTTAGGCTATGAAAAATTCACTTTTACACTTTAGCTCACTATGTTTTTACTATAATAAACATGACATGGAGTTTTAGAATTCTTCTACTTTTAAAATGTCTGAAAAGTTCAAATTTATTTGCACTCTAAATTTTATGGTTAGTGTAAAGCCCCATAAAAGCTAAGAATCATTAAAAATTGGGCAGACTACTATATTTGACATAATCGTGAATCGTATATGATATGAGTAAAACAGATAAAGTCCTTGAATAACTGAAAATTATTGAACATTAATGTTAAATTAATCTCTTCGGGACTCTTTTTTGTATCTTAGGCAAGGTTTTTAAATTCTAAACAAATTTCTTAATTTTACTTTGTTCTAGTGGAATGGCTGTGAATTTATTGTAAAAATACGAAGAATCAACTTTTTAAAACTTGTCCCAATTCAACATCTTGAGGGTTCCATTAAAGAAAAATGCAGTCCAGGAAATTTGTTATCCAATCTATCCTTAAAGGAGTGATTCTGCAAAAATGGGTTTGAGAAAAAAAACTAAGTTTACACAAAATTTCTTTTCTCCTGAAAATAAAATGTTAGAAGTTTTAGTTTTATAAATTAGACTAACCAGCAAATTTTAGAGATTTATTCCTATTTCCAATAAAGTATGAAAAAATTTTAGAATAAATTTTTAAGAATGAAATTTGCTAAATTATACTGAAATATTTATGTTAAAAATGTTATGTTATTATGCTTTTTATGTTATGTTTAAAAAAGGATATGAACTCAAAATTTCTAAAACTGATGAAACTTTCTTCAATTTAGAAACTCTTGTACTATCCTTATTTAAATGTGAAGGACAGTATTTCAACAAAAAAAGTTTATTAATCTGTGTCTATGGTCACGAGTCAATGTTTTAAAAATAAAATTTCTATTTTAACTTCTATTGACAATTTTTGAATTATAAAATTAAAAAAATCATAAAAAATTAGCCAAGAAGCATTCGATGCATATTTATATTAATTTTGCTAGCAAATATAAATTTAAAATGCTTTTTTGCTGGGAAATTAATTACACGATTTCATATTTAAGTTTTTCCAACTAAACTTAGCTTTTGGAAGACAAGAACTTAATCCCTGATATTGCAATGCTGGAAAATTTTGTCTCAAAGGGATTTTAATTTTTAAAAAATTCACTGTTTCAATTCCTGTTTCAATTTACGGTTATTGACAACAATTCTTAACTTAATAAATTTTACATATAGTTTTATAGGGCCTAAACGTAATATTTGATATTTGTACCTGTAATTTCATCAATTCCAGTTTTAATTAAACAATATCCATAATAAGTTCTATCCTACTGTAAGGTTGTCCAATACAAGAACATATATAAATTGCTGTAAAAAGAATCCAATGACGATAGAAAGGAATGTTTCGTTCACTTTTTCTAGAATCTTGTCGATGTCCAATTATCGTACTGATTAAGTTTCACCAATCTGAAAACAAAAATTATATAAATATAGCAGCAAAATCTCAATTCTCACTTATTTCTAAAATGCAGAAATCTGCACAATTTTATCTCCGCGAAATAAATTAACTATTGAAAATTTGTGAAGTCACTTCAGAATAAAAACTAATACAATTCATGGAATTCTCACTTTAATAGCTTTTAATTGTTAAATTGTTTAAATGCAATACGCAAAAATTCCTAAAATAAGACTAGATTATCATATCCTTTAAGCAGTTAAGTCATTTCACGGTAAGAATACCATATACACATTTTTATATCAAGAATAAACTGGTGGAAAATGATAACATAAAATTTTGCAAAACAAAAAAAAAACAAAAAAAATTGGGAGAAATAAAATTTTAATATGAAGTTGAATTTTAAAAAATTCTTTTACACCACTTGGTAGAAAGTGCTAAGATTAAATACTTAAATTTAATGAAAAAATAAGAACGCATAGAACAAGATTTATATTGTCATGAAATACTAGATAAAAGGAAAACATAAGACGTTCTCTGAATTCCGTCTGATAAGTAAAATATTTAATAAATTTCCATTTAAAACTTTATACTGAGTAAACGAAAACAGTCCCTCCAATTTAAAATTTCCCATAATTTCCTGTATAGAATGTAATTAGATTTTTTGAGTATGTAAAATGCATCAAATCTATCCAAGTTTTGAAATCTTTCGGAAAAGATGTTCTAGACGTTGTAAACGCTAATAAAATAACTCCTTACGTTTATCTAACGCTTTTTTGTACTTAATATTCTCATAAGAATTGAACGTAGAATTTAAGAGCACAAAAACCAGGTTTACTGTACTGTAGGCAACCAAACGGTTGCAGATTAAATTTGGGAAAAAGACTAATGGTTGTGAAAAAGTGCTCAAAAGTATCTTTTTCTAGAAGTACGTATCAGATATGTTTTTAAAACGAACTTACATAAAATATCATGCTTTAGAGCATTAAGTATTTTTTTTAAACTTGATTGAAGAAAATTTAATATTTTAATAATAGCCGGATACAGATATAATCATAATTTCAAGGTGGCGAAATTAAGCGGACAAAATGTGTATAAGACCCATCTACCTCTCGTTACTATCTGTTATGCTATCTGAGACGTTTAAGAATAATTAAACTAAAAGTCGTTTTAAAGGTTTAACTTTAATGTTAAATGAAAACCGCTTCATTACTTTATTTGCTGAGGTTATAAAAACTTCTATTTAAAAATTAATCTGGTTCGTTTATTTGCAGAATAAAATTTTTGTAAAATTAGATAGAGAAATTTTAACATAAACTACAAAAAGCTTAGAAGATTAACTTTTTGGTACGAAATTCAAATGCAAGTACGAAAAAAATCAGTTAAGAAATCTAATAAAGTGATTTCCATAACTTTTTATCTTTAGATGTAAGACCTAGCTGTAAGACCATCTTTGCATACACTGATGTAGACAGTGGCAATCCCCGGGAAGACAATGTAGTTTTCAGAAATATAAGTCCAGGCATCAAGCTAAAAATGTGTAGTTATAATTTGACTCTAGATTGAAAAAGAGTAACAGGTAACTTCACTGAGTGAAATTTGAAATTAAAGAATAAGTTTGAAATAACATTACTAAATTTTTAAATCAGATTGTTAATAAGTGGTTAATAAGAGATTGTTGAAATGGAAAAAATACGGGGGGAGGACCTTAAGACTTGCACCTAGAACTTTAGTTTTGATTTTTAAGAAAAACTGAGAATTACTTTTAACTACCGTAAAATAAACTAAGAAAAAAAACGTATGATTTAAGTACCCTAAACATTGCTTTTTCATTAATTTAAAATGAAAAAGCACCATTTCTAAAGCATATACAATAATTTTTAAGAAAATTTTGAAACTTGAATTTAAAGATTATTGCATAAATTCGCGTTAATCGCTTTTACGGTAAAATTAAATAAAAATTTTTTTTACCTAACACTGTCTTTTTACACTAATTTTCAGTTCATTTTTCCAAAGAGAAAGAAAACGTTTGGATACTTTGAATAGTTTCTGAACATTTGTAAAAATGTTGGAAAGACATATTACCGTGCAATGCGCTTTTAAATAAGTAAGAAGTTTTATTTTAAAAGCCATTAATAGAGTTAAACATAACAAGTGGAACTACACTAAGAGAATTGTAAAACAAAACAAAAATCACCACACAAGTCCTTTCAAAAAACAAAAAAGGAATGAAAATGTCAAATCTTTCCAAAATGCGTGGCAAAGGTTTGCTTCGTAAGCTTAGCACGTATTCTCACTGGATAAGAATGCAGACTAGAGCCTCTGAAGAACCAAATATATTTTGCGAACTCAATAACCTTCGACAGGGTCAAAAATCTTTTCACAAGAAATTTTTCCATTATAAACAGTTCACTATAAACATGTATTTGCATAAATCAGTTGATTTGGAACTAGTTCATAAACCTAGAAATTTTACGTATTAGAGTTACTCAACATATTTGGATTTGATTCCAGGCACCCGGTCGCTAAGCTGTGGCGCTTCACGCTGTCGTGCCACAGGTCCCTGGTTCGATCCTCGGGCCGGCCAAGGTTGATTCAGCCTTTCATCCCTTCAGGGGGTCGATAAATGAGTACCAAGTATGCTTGGGAACTAAACATTTGGGGTTCCGCGTTCGGTTAACCACCTGATCGGAACATCTGCTTTTGCACCCCAGAGCCCAAGGTCAAGAAAACTGAGATGGGCACAGTAGGCCTTGGCCCTCTATGGGCTGTCGCGCAGCTGAGTTTAGTTTAGTTTAGAAAGATTCCAACTGAAATTTAATTTTAACACTACAAGGATAAATAGATTGCAGGAGATAAATTACATTAAAAACGATAGCTGAAATGTTCGCTGACGACTTTATTAACAAAAAGATATTAATATTATATATATAGTAGTTTAAAAATAAATTTGTAAATAGTACTTATATTAGAAATCATTAAACACGACGAGTTTAGGGAAAAAATAACAATTCAAATGTTTAAAGTCTCATACAATTTACCTTTCTCAATAAGGAAAAATAAACTTACCAACAATGACGAAAAGAAAAATCTCTAATTACATAAATCTAAGTAAAGTGTCGACTACACTGATAAAAGCAAAATACGATCCTAATCATAAAACTAAGCATCTGCGGCCCATTTACTTCCAGCGGGGTAGTGGTAGACATAATATTTGAAATACGAATAAGCAGAAAGCAAGAAAAATTGAATTAAGGATGGTGAAGAGGATCGGTGGTACTCGCTTTTATCCTCTATGCTTTGAGAGAGAATAAAAACACAAACTCATACTCATATGTTGTAGTTATCTTAGCATCAGCCCTGCGAGGGGCTCTAACCAATTCATCTGAGTAGGAATGTATGATAAATCGCCGAAGCGCAATTGAATGGTGAAGGTTGGGGTTCAGTAACATTTACTGAGTGAAAATTAAAATAAAACAGCGGGATTCAAGCAACCAAATTTATTGCTTTATTGAAATTACATACATGTGCAGGCTTGTGAGCTCAATCTAGGCTTATACGCCTTTGACAAGTAGAAAGACAGATGAAACAATTGAGAGAAGGACATCACCAAGAATACATCCATGGTTACGGCGGTATTCGAATCCGCTATCTCCACGTTTTCCGCAGCGTTTGACCGGCAACACCGCTCGGCCAGGGAGGCCGTCAAGCAAATTCAAGAGAGAGAGAAGAGGTTTTTGCGGCAGACTGCCTCAAAAGCACAAACTACTACCTACGCGCCTTTTATAAGAACGATATCGTACTTAAAATCACTTCCTGTGGCTTATTTCTGCTTAATTCTATATGCACACTAAGGTGCTCCGTAAAACAGTATTTTTCGACCAGACACTTGGGGGTAGTGAGTTCAATTCCCGTCACATCCGTGGATTTATCTGTTATTCTCTTTTTGTCATGTCCATCTATTATTGTCAAAAAGTGGACTGGTCGATCATCACTGGCAGTGGTCATTGAGAGTATTAGTAACCACTTTGATCAGGAGGCTAGGAGTAATCGACTTAGCACACAAGTCTTCGGGTTACTAAAGCGGAGAAGCCATCCCCTCTGCAGAGGATCAAAACTGTGAAGGCATGTCTTCGAATCATACTCCGGGATGTTTCCCAGACCGTCCCGATTGCCCATTATGCAGCATTAGTACTACGTAAATGAAGTACTACTACAATTACTTCCAATTATAATTTGTGCCATAAGTTCCTTAATTTGTCTTAAAGTTGGTGATGAAGTGAAATGTAGGTAGGTACATTATTTACGTCGCACTAGAGCTGCACAATGGGCTATTGGCGACGGTTTGAGAAACATCCCTGAGAATGATCCGAAGACATGCCATCACAATTTTGATCCTCTGGGAATTGGATGGCATCACCGCTACGGTAGCTCAACGACTTAAAGTCGAGCACTTTACGGTATAACAGCTTATCGAGAACAGATACCGCACACCCTCGGTCCCTCCACAGATTAATAAAATTTGTTACCCACCCGCCCACTGACCACTGCCAGTGATGCTTGACTTCTGTGTATCTACTGGGAACCGTGTTTTAAGTATCAGCCCACTGTGTGACTACTTTTAAATGTTAATATCATACTAATGCTTGATTGTATATAAAACATTAGTATCACAAACATCTAAACATTAGTATCACTATCAAGCACTAGAACCAACTCATACTTTTTACGAATAGGGTCGCTATTTTTAAGATACTGATTGAATAGGTTTGAAGTTTAATAGATCAAAAGGGCTGTAAGATAAAAGAGTTTCATATTAAGCGAAAATTGGTTGATTCTCATCAAAAACTTCAGAGATATGACTTACTAAGCAAAAAGGGTAATGCTCAAACTTTTGATCGCTTTCCTTATTAAACTATTGGGATCGTATTCAACAGATTACGGCTAACTACCAAATATTTAGAATCAAATATAAAGTCTGTTTAGAGGCTTCCCTGGGATAGTGGTATCTCCCGGTAAATGATGTGCGAAGACTGGAGGTGGCAGGTTCGAATCCCGCCGTAACCTTAGGAAGTATTCTTCGTGATGTCTTTCTCTGAATCGTTCTATTTGTCCCCCTACATGAAAAAAAATTATGAGCTTAAATTAAGCACACAAGCCAGCAAATGTATGCAATTTCAATAAAGCAATAAAGTATGTTTATTCAGTTGTAGTTTTTTTATTTACGTCACACTAAAGCTGCACAATGGGCTATTGGTGACGGTTCAGGAATCATCCCTGAGGATGATCCGAAGACATGCC